TTTTAACATCATTGGATTTAATTAATATTTATTAACAGTTAATAAATTATTGCATGCCTTAAGCGCGAAGCGCGCAGGTATGCTCTACTCTCGCCTAAAAATCGTAATTTCGATTAAAATGTGATTTTCATAATTTAAACGAAAAAAATTATGGATAAAAAGCATATTAAAATAAATAATAGTAACTATAGAACACATTAAAAAAATTTTGTTATCGATTAAATAAGATTTTTCAGAAAAAACCCGTTTTTCTGATGAATTAAATGAATAAAAGCGTGGTATTCACGGGAGCTATGGGCTTGACAACACCACAACTTTGTCAATAATCACTTTCACGATTTAATTTTTTTTTGTTTTATTCCGAAGGAAGCTTATCAAAACCCTTGTGAAAATTGCGTGTCAAAATAATTCCGTTTCGATACAGTTAATTTTTTTCGATTGTCAGTTCGGTGACTTTTTCTGTGATTTCGGCAGCCATATGTATTATTTTTCATAAAAAGAATTGAAATAACGATAAACAAGCAGAAACTATACATACATGATGGTATAATTACTAACTGTTTTATCATCTGTTAAAATTTTTCTTTATTTCGACCTACAGAGGGGATAATACTACTCGCGGGAAAATTCAAATTAAAAACGAATAATTTTTGTTATGATCTAAATAATTTATGTATGATATGAGCGCTTAAGGCATGCTCATTTGGATTTTCCAAACTTTTTTATTAAATACGATTCATTAAATGTTAATAAATAATTGTTAACAGTTAACAAATATTTGTTAACTATTAATAAATACTTATTAACTATTAATAAATGTACTTTCCCCCAAATAAATATTTATTGAATGTTAAAAAACATTTATTAAAATTTAATAAATTAAAAAATTGTCTTCAAACAAATTAAATTTCTAATAGTTAATAAATCCTTTTATCAGTTTACATATCATTATATATAATTTTATATAATCATATATAATTTCATATAATTGTATATAGTAATGTTTGTAACTTTTGTACAATTCTATAGAATTATATAGAATAGAATAGAATAGAATATTTATTGCTTCTTAGGAATACATACATTCCCATTGCAAGGGGATAATCACAGATACAATTGTATTTAGTTGTAAGTATAAGTAGTATAAAGGGGCCTTTCATAGGCTCGTAATAAAACAATATCAATATATTTTTAATAAACAATTTACAGCTAGATTATTCAAATAAAATGAAAGCTCTTAATGAGCAAGCGTTTCGTGTAAAGTGGTATATGGGCTTTATGAGTGAGCAGTTTGGGTTGAGAATGTCATGGATTGCAGGGGTAGGTCCGAAGTTTTTGACAATGAAGTGCTGGCGAAGGTTACTGAGTTGAGGACATCGTAGCAGGAGGTGTTCAATGGTGTATCTCTCACCTAGATTACAGATTGGGCATTTCTGTTGGCAGTTGAAATTGTATTTACAATTGTTAGTGTTTAGTGTACAGTAGTGGCTGCTTGCTAGCCTGAGTTGAGCGAAAGTTCTTAGAGCCTGTAGGTTTGTCCTTCTTCGTAGATAGCTGGTGCTTAGATTCGTTGGTATATAAGTTGTTTGGAAGTAGTGCGAGTTGATGGCTAGTCTAAGATCTTGCTGGTGTAGCGAATTTTTGTAAAGATTTAAAAATTCTTCTTCTTTCGAGTGCCAGTTGCACAAGTTTAAGCTAGTGAGACCCTGCGCAATCTCTGGTGAGATGCTTTCGACGAGCAAGAGAAATTTTTTTAGCCAGTTTGTTTTTGCTGAGCTAGTATCGGTTCTAGCAAGAGTGGCCAATCTGAATAGGCAAATTCTCGGTAAGCGTGATCCTTCCATCATCAGAATTTTGACGACGTATCTCCAGGTATCTTTTACGATTACGTATCCTAACTGCGTTCTGTTAAATTCTATCCTGAGTAGCGCACCCGCTGTTGTCCTGGGGAGACCGAAAACTTGTTTAATAAAATCACATTGGATCTTTTCTCCCAGATCGAGGTAGGATAGCGCCCATATGGGCGAGGCGTACAAGAGCGTCGCAGCGACCGCTGTCGAAAAGCTTAAAGATGCTTTCCACCGAGTCGATCCTGGAGGTGAAGATGATTGAAGTGACCATGCTTAGTGCTGCTTTGGCTTTCTTGATGGCATTTAACGCTGTATGTCGGCTAAATCCGCTTGGGGTAAAGGTAAGGCCAAGATATTCATATTTTTCTACGATCTCAATGGGTTGGTCGTTGATGTTGAACATCAGCTTGTTTGAGACTCTACCTGCTTTTCGGCAGCAGATGATTTTGGTTTTTTGCGTGTTGACAGAGAGTTTATTTTTTTTGGCAGTATTTGTGTAAAATATCCAGCTTTCTTTTCATGTCTTTTTCTGAACTGCCAAGTACGACCAGGTCATCTGCGTAGAGTAGTAATAGAATGTCGGTGGTGCCATCGATATTAATCCCTTCACAGCCACACTCTCTGAAGGTGCTTTCAAGATCTGCAATATATAATACAAACAGAAGCGGACTCAAAATTTTGCCTTGGAGTACTCCTTCCGCAGAGCTAAATTTGCGGGTAAGTTCATCATTACTTTTGACGCGGAAAGAAGCAGAGTCGTATATATTTTTAAGCAACCGGATAATTTTAGCACTGAGACCGAGTTTGTACAATTTACACCAGAGAAGCTTGTGATTAATAGACTCAAACGCTCTTTTAAAATCGACAAATGTAATGTATAATCTCGCCTTGGTTTGACGCAAGCGTGATTGGGTCGCCGCTAGAAGATTAAATAGGTTATCCATACAGCTCTTATTTTTTTGGAAACCTGCTTGCGTCTCTGGTACAATATTGGTGGATTTGGCCCATGCTTCAATCCTCTTGTTGAGTATAGATGTGAATAACTTGGCAACATGGTTTATTAATGCAATCCCACGATAATTTGCAGGGTCCAGCTTGCTACCTTTTTTATGCAGGAGCGTGATCGTAGCTGAAAACCAGTCATCCGGGATTTTTTCAGATTCAAACACTTTATTGAACATGCACAATAAATATAATTTCCAGTTTTGCGGCAAATATTTATAGTATTCATTCCTGATATTATCCGGGCCCGGTGCCTTGTTTATCTTGTTGTATTTGATGGCAATATTTAATTCTTCCATTGATAGTTCTGTATCAAGCAGCGGGTCGAATGTACCGAAGAAAGAGTACTGATCCTGTTCCTTAGGTGCGGTATTTTCTGCATAGAAGTTTTCCCAGGTACTTATATCAATTAGATTGTTGTTCGACGAGGTTTTGTATTTGAATCGCCTCACAGTCCTCCAGAATTCCGCAGAGTTTTTTATGTTAGCTAAACTGTCCAGGGTACAATTGTTGTATTGCCCTTTTTTTGCCTTAATTAAAGCTTTATAATTCCTTTTTGCATCAAAATAATGTTTTTTGGCGCTGATCTGAAAGTTTTCTCTTTTGAGTTGTTCGAAAAGGTACTTGAGGTTGCTTTTAGCAGCTTTACAGTCTGCGTCATACCAAGGTTGGATCTTTTTCTTATAAGTGGCTGATTTAATTATTTTAGACATTCCAGTGAGATCAGCGGCAGATTTTATGGCTTCCTGGAAGTTGTGGTTGAGATCATTAGTTGTCATGTGTGAGAAATCGGAGCAGATTCTGGGGGAATTGCGTAAGTGAGATTTGAAGTCTTCCTTCTTTTCGTGCTGCCAGGAATAAATTACCTTTTCCAATGTGCTAGGCTTGTCCGAGTCTATGTAGCCAGGGAAGTTTGACGTGTAGATTTTCAGTAACAGTGGAAAATGATCAGAGTCATTTTCGTATTGTAGCACTTCAAGATCGACTATTCGGTCGAATGCTTGGATGTTAGCAATCACATAGTCAATAGTACTGCAGCCTTTACCTATGTGCGTGATTTTACCTGGGGAGTCGCTTAAGGTTCTGCCATTAATGATGTGCATAGAGTTGTTTTGAAGGAAGGAGATCAGGTTCTTTCCTCTGATGTCTACTTTTGGGTCTGCGGATGTTCTCAGTTCAGCTAGATTTATGCCTAGTATCAGATCTTCGTCTATATTGTCTAGATTTCCAGTATGGGCGTTGAAGTCCCCAGTAAGGATGATTGGTGCGTATTCAGTAACTTCTTTGACATCATCGATTGTCTTCTGAAGTAGTTCCAGCGAGGCAGCCATGTTGCGTGATGGTCTAAAATAGATGCAGGCTAAAACAAAAAAAGATACACCAGCAGAGACTGTCACAAAAAGCCAGCTATCTGAGGATTCAATTACCTTTAGCTCCAAGCCATTTCTGGCGATGATGGTGATGCCACCACTTGCGTGGCCCATGCTTTTTTCTTTGATAGCTGGAGAAGTTACTATGCTGAAATTACTCCAATCACCCGGTAAGGTGATTTCACTGGGTATCCAAGTTTCACAAATGCAGAAGATATCACTGTTCGCCTGATGTTGGTAAGCAAAGAAGTTCTGCAGGCCCCTCGCGTTCCATGACATTATCTTTAGCTAGGAGTTATTTTGAGGCTGCCAAGATCTTAATATTTTTAGTTTTATATTTAAGAATATAATATAATAAGTCAATAACTTATTTCATAGTTATTAATACTTTTATAAATGAAACTTTTATATACCAGTTAAATGTTAAATTCATAAATAAATTTTATAACTATTCCGTTTATTAATTATTACTGTTTTTATTATTAATATTATTATTCTTTTGAATTGTAACAAACTTATGCATATTTAATTTCAAATAACCTCCTAATCTACAAGTGTCACCATGTTTTATTTGATGTCTAGTAAAACTGGCCAGTAACTAGAAAGTGACTGGATATTATATTAGCCAGTTCCTAGCTTAAGTCTAGTTAAACTAGCCAGTTACTGGCCAGATACTTGATTACATTTCTACTAGGGTATAGTTGAATTTTATTATGTGATTTTCCAATGAATTGATTTCTGCTTACTGGTAGAACTCATATTTTTTTTTTATTTTTCAGTATGCCGTGAATGGTTGGTGTATGAAGATGGTGCCCTAGCTTATCGTCTGCAAGATAAAGAAAGTATGTTTCGTTCAATTTAATGCATTTTTAAAATTTTTGCTCATACAAGAATCTAATGCTATTATAAGATTTAAAAAATATATTTTCAGTTAAAGAACATTATTCTGGTAATAAAATTCGCAACGCTCAAGTTCGAGAAGATTTACCACGAGCTAAGGTCGAACAGCAACTTGAAGAATTCAAATACCAATCCCGTGTTCAACAGCAGTAAATATAAATTTAGTTTTACAAAAATTAATTCGAACAAATAAAAAATTTAAATCAAGTAATTTCAAATATTTATAGAGAGGAGAATGATGCTCTTGTCGCCCGTCAGGTTGCATTGAGGTTGGAAAAAGAAGAAAAAATTCAAGAGCGGAAACTCAAAGAGAGAATGGAATATCAATCAAAACATGATCATCAAAAAATACAGATAAAAATTGAACTAGAAATGCAAAGACGTTTGCAAGAGGAAAAAGATGAGGTAATTTTTAAATATATTAATAAAATATCTCTGATTTGAACTAACTATATGATGTCAGTGACATGAGATCGTGTACGTTAGTTCCCGAGTCAAAATATAATTTTCAATTTGAGCCTCAAAATCCTAAGTAAGGTTTTTGAGGGCTAATTTGGAATTTCAAGATAGATTTCAATATGGAAAGTTGTTACGATTTGAACCTCAAAATCCTACTTACGGACGGTTTTACAACTTTGAGGGTAAAAATAGAACTTCAGAATTCACGTTTGAACCTCAAAACCCTCACAATATTCTTCAATAATTTTACTATTAAAAATTTTAAATGAATATGGCACTATTGTTTTTTAAATCCTCCCTGCATTTTTCAAATAAACAAATGGTTGTATCTGATAAAATAAATTCAAAGTGATCGAGGTGTAAAATTTTTTGGCAGTGGTACAAGTTGTCATATAACATTTTACTAATTAATTTCATCAAAATAAATTAGCCAAATTGAAAAAAAAAAAAAAAATTTTGTGTTAATTTGGGTGTTCAGATGATCATTTCATATACTTAACACTCTTTCTTTCACTGTTTCCCTATGTATCGAAATTAAATTAATCTAAAATCGTCCTACGCTCGGACTCGAACGCGGAACCCTACGCTCTCTAAACCTAAACCTAACCGACTACTCTATACTACGCATGTAGTTGTTTTGATGATAACTGTACACTAGGGCGTTTCAAAAAAAAAAAATTTTTTTTTTTCTCGGAACCAGGCTCAAAAGTTTTGTTTAGATGCCAAAATAAGCCCCTGAAAATATGAGCCCTCTATATTAATATTAAAATTGTCCGCCTCGCAATATTCGATTTCCCATAAGAATAACACAGGAAAAAAAATTTTTTTCTATTCTGATTATTGTAACTAATGAACCATCAATTGCTCTGCGATTTCCATCAAACATTTTTGTAGAGAATTGAACGCTCTACAAAAAAGTTCTGATATCATTTTTCGATTAATCAACTCATTCAAAATTTATTCAAGGTCAAAGTTAAATTCATTATTAATTTAGCCGTTTTCTTGATAATCCGCCGAAATTTATTTTTTCTAATTTTTGTAACTAATGAACCATACATTGCTCTACGATTTCCATCAAATATTTTTGTAGAGAATTGAACGCCCTAAAAAAAAATTCTGATATCGTTTTTCGATTAATCAACTCATTCAAAAGTTATTCAAGGTCAAAGTTAAATTCATTATCAATTTAGCCGTTTTTCTGAATGATTTGGCAAAAATATTTTTTTTAGAAAAAATGTTCCCCAAATATTTCATAAAATACTAATTAGACTTCTGAGGATTGTTAACCAATATTCTTCGCTATGTGATAAAGATGGACGAAGTATATAAAACAATTTATCAATGACAGTTAGCTCTATAAATTTGAGATATCTCGTTTTTGAAAATTTGCATCAATCGTTTCATTGAGATCAATATTTTTAAACTGATTTTTAATTGAATAACAGTCTTAAAATTTCAACTTAAACATTTCATGATAAGATAAATCAGGAATGTTCAGAATATTTCAATACGTTGAAAGTCACTAATGATGTAGCTGAACGAGGTGTTGCTTTGATTAAGGAATACAACAATTACCTCACAAAAGATGAGCAACAACTGCAATACTTATTGCAAGTAGTTCGCGAACATCGGCGGAGATATCCCAATTACAATAAGACAACTCTTCAGCAAGATCAATTTCATGTAAATGTGTAAAAATCATTTTTAAACAAGAAAAAATTTGAATTTATGAGAAGTAATACATTTGTTATAAGTTTTGAGTAATTAATTTATAATATTTGGTAGTCATGAATACATATATGTTGAATAAAATTACTTGTCTGTTCATCTGAATTATGAAAACGCAGAAACACGAATAACTCTTCAGGCCATGAATAAAAAATGTGTTATTCTTATGGGAAATCGAAAGTGCGAGACGGATAACTTTAATATTAATATTAAGGGCTCATATTTTCAGAGGCCTATTTTGGCATCCAAATGAAACTTTTGAGCATGGTTCCGAGAGAAAAAAAAATTTTTAACTTCCCGCTAAAAATCTCAGATTTTCAAAAATCGGGAAGTTATTGTTTTCACTCCGTTTTACAAAAATCGAGTTTTCATCAGATCTCGACGTTTGAAGGTCACAGAAAGCTTCCCTGACTATTTTTACGATGATGTCCGTACGTCTGTGTGTGTGTGTGTGTGTGTTTTATAGAGGAGGTAAAATACATTTACGTATGCCAGGGCTTG